CCCCCAGCTCCCCCTCCCTGCCAGGTGTTTGGTGCCCAGCCTACCTTGTTCTCTTTGCTGGTCTCTCTGCTCCATGGACACGAGGGCAGAGAAGTGAGCTTGATCATAGGCTAGGACCAGAGGCGAGCAGTGACATCTGTTGGGAAGAACCTCCAAGGGCAGGTAAATCCCTCCAAATGGGATTGGGGCAAAAGCTGAGGGCAGAAACAAGAACAAGGACAGGTAGGAACTAGAGAGCTGGAGCTGGGAGGGAACATCCAATCATCCCTCACCCTTCTGAGGCATGGTGTGTCCAGGAAGGCTTCCCCCACAGCCAACACAGAGCAGGGAGGGGGATTCGTCACCTCTTACCCCAACAGAGAAGAGCTTTCCTGTGGGTACTTTGTTTTCTAAACAATTTTCACAGTGAGATCTGGGTATTGTTGACCTGCAAAGTGATGAGGATGTCCAGGCTCAGTGGGGTCAGGCCTATAGCACCTTCAAGCTTTGTGCATACTTTAGGACCCTGGCCCTACCTGGGTAGGGTTCCCCTGGCTCCTTCCTGTGCCCCTTCAAGCTACACTCTGGGGAAAATTGGGTAGGGTTGAGGGGTGTACTCTGTGATTGCCTCAGTACTGCAGAACCAGAGTTGTGTGCTAAATTGTGTTTCTCAAAATATGTATTTCAGTCCTGGGTCCTGTACTTAAGGATGTGATCCCATTGGAAATAGCAATGCTCTTCTGTTACGCTAATGAAGCCTCCAATCTCATCTCTTCTGAGTTATCAAAAGAGGTGCAGCGTTATCAATAGACCCAGGGATATGCCTAGAGAGACATCATGTGGAGACACACTGGGAAGATGCAACTGCAAGCTTAGAAATGCCAAGAATTGCTCTGCATTAGGCTGCTGCCCACAAGATCATTTGTTTGAACCAACCAGCTGCGACAGAGGGAAGATGGGACATTTTATTCCCTTCCAGAATTGCAGCCTCAGAAACTCACCGGGACAGCCCCACTCTGTACCACAGGTCCTCTGCGGCTCCGAACGGACCACGTGGCAATGAGACGCACAGTTAGGCTCTTGGAGCAGTGGGTGGGCAGCCATTCTGTCCAGGGTTCCTTTAGTTTACTCTTTCTATCACAACTATTCTAACTGATTTAATGATTTTTGTCTTTCAAGATACCCTTTTAAAAACAGGCACCCTGAAAAGGGGAAGGTATGGGGACTAGAGCAGCACGCAGTATGAGGTTGAGCAGAAGTGCCCATTAGAGTGTGGGCTGCTGGCCGTTGGCCATGCTGTATGCACTCGCATGAGAGGGAAGGAGGGGTGGGGGCTGAGTTTACCAAACATGACCACATTTCTCATAGCCATTGTGATGGTTAATTATATATATGAAGTTGACTAGCTTTCCTAGTGGTTTGGCCAAACACTAACCTACGTACTGTTCCACGGAATAATCTAATGCAGCTTTCCATAGCGGATTCGAGTGAAATAAGAGTCAGTCAGCTGTAAAGGGCAATATCCTCCAGTGTGTTCTGCCCCAAGACTTTAAAATAGGCATTTTGGATGAACTCTCATTTCCCTCTGAACTCTTTTCTTTTCCTAACCTATGAATATTGGACTTGCCAGTCCCTATAATTGTGTGAGCCAAACTCTTGAAGGAAACATCCAGCTAGCTAGCTACTCATATGTTCTGGTTCTTTTTCTTTTTTAGAGAATCCTGGCTAAGGCAGCCATTTTCTGTATCAGAGGGTGACTAAGGCAGCCATTTTCTGTTTATATAAAGGGGTATATGACAAGAGTGATCTCTTCTGATGCCAGGGTGGAAAAAGAAACATCAAATAAAGCAGCAACAATGACAGAAAAATATAATCTTTTGCTTTGAGGTTGCAGTGTAATGCCTTTGGATCTTCTGGAAGTTCAATCCTTATGCGGTTTCCACTTTAGGTAATGCTAAACACTCTAGGTCATTTCTCTAAGGAACTGTAAGGAACTTACCTTCCCCACCTGAATCTCTTAGCATTGTATCTGCCACAACAACAATTGGTCTTCTTAATATATGGGCCAGGACAAAAACATGAAACTCTTCTAGACTCTCGTAGACAGGATCTTCTGAGTTGTCCACACTAGGAAAAATTAAAGCAAGCCTGTTAGAAAACATTGTAAGAATAGAAGATGGAGAAAGTAGAGAATGTTCTCTGCAGGGACTGATACCTTTCCTTTGGGATCTTAGATTTCTTGTCCCCTGAAAGCACTGCTACCTGAGGTCACCTCTCATACCAGGCACTGATTGACAAATGTACAAGTCCCAGCTTCTCACTCTCGACTCAGAGCCAAGTACCTCCAGTAGACATAAACTTGAAGGTGATGGCTTCTGGTCACCTCTAAGATGAAGTCTCTCAGACAGCAGAAGAGCCTACCACAATGGTAGTAACATAGCAGTTGGTCCCTGGGGGTACTGACAAAGAGGGGGGAGGATTATGTGTCAATTTTCCATGTGCATCTGGTGCTCCAGCCTCTCCCATCAGAGACTAGGATTACCTGGGGACAGATGACAGCCTTATGGGGTCCATTACAATAAGATCTCAGGAGCCTATGGAAAGACTCCGACTACAGTAAGAGACACGAGCTGAGATGGCTCACAGCTCATGAATAGACAGGAAACGTTATTCTGGCTGCTGCTAGGCCACGCAGGCTCTCCCAGACAAGGCCCCACTTGTAACTGGAGTTTAGCAAAAGGAGGATCCAAGAATTTCTGTCGTAAATCTAAGTCATCTGGGCAGAGGATGTTGGCCTTGATGTCCATAAGCGACATGGCTACCCGAAAGGGAAGGTTGAACCAAAAGTGCCAGAGTTAACAATTGCATGTTCTGGTCCAACCAAGTTTTCAGTGCTCAGTCAAGACAGTCAGATGTAATTTCAGCTGGGTCCTGAGCACCTTGTGAATGTTCAGAATTAAGGTAGAGAAGTTTGTTAGGACTGGGACAGGTAGGGGCCAGAGCTAGTACAACGTGGCCCTATTTAAGGGACAGGTTGTGTGGTCTAGGGAAATAGTGCCCCACGTATGCAGCTCCCATTCAAATTTTTAAATTGATTCTATACCTAAGCATGCAAACTTAGGAATGTTTTAAGATCACAAAGAGAGTTCTGATGTTATTATATAACCTATCTATATTTTCCTATTTATTATTTTTCATGTTTATATTTATTTCAAAATTTTTGTTGTGAATTAGGTGAGTGTTTACAGAGCACATCATGCATTCACAGCTTTACATTCAGCATCTCCATCAAACTTCCCAATGTCTTCTCCTGATTCCACTAGATTATTCACATCTCCCTCTTGAATATTATCTTCCTTTTCACCCAGGTTAGCATCAATCTATTCTGTGGCCTGTGACTTCTCCTTCTATCCCCTTTCTTCCCATCCCCTTTAATTTTCTATTCTGGTGATGTCTTTGCTTAGTTCTAGTATCAGGGTTATGCTTGCTTCATAAAATGAATTCAGGAGGTTATTGGAATGCAAAAGGTGGAAACAGGGAAGTGTAGTTGGAAAATATGAACTTCGTGATAGAAATGGAGCTGGAGATCCCATGATAGAATTTTGCAAAACCAATGATTTGTTTATAGAAAATGCCTTTATTCTACAACACAAACAGCGACTATACTCATGGACTTCTGCAAACAGAATACACAGAAATCAATTTGACTACGTTGGTGGGAAAAGGTGATGGAGAAGCTTAATATCAACAGCAAAACCAGGCCAAGTACCAATTTTGGAACAGACTATCAATTGCTCATATGTAAGTTCAATATAAAACTGAAGAAAATTAAAACAACTCCACAGGAGCCAAAATATGACCTTGAGTCTATTCCACCTGAGTTTTGAGAACATCTCAATAAAAGATTTGACACGTTGAGCACACCTGACAGAAGATCTGATGAGCTGTGGGCGGACATCAAGACCATCATGCTTGAAGAAAGTAAAAGGTGATTAAAAAGACAAGAAAGGGGGGAAAAGACCAAAGGGGATGTCAGAAAAGACTCTGAAACTTGCTCTTAATTGTAGAGTAGCTAAACCAAATGGAAGAAAGGATGAAGTCAAGGATGAATAGAAAATTTCAAAGGGCAGCTAAAGAAGAAAGCAGCAAATATTATAAAGAAATGTGCAGGACCTAGAATAAGAAAACCAAAAGGAAAGAACACAGTCAGTATACTTGTAACTGAAAGAACTCAAGAAACTTTCAAGCCTTGAGTTGAATTTTTAAAGACCCTATAGGCAAAATATCGACTGATGCAGGAAGCATCAAGAGAAGATGAAAGAGTACACTGAGTCACTGTACCAAAGAGAGCTCAAGTCAACATTTTACCATTTCAGGCGGTAGCATATGAGCAAGAGCAAATGATACTGAAGGAAAAAGCTTAAGCTTCACTGAAAGCTATACCAAAAACAAGACTTCAGGAATTGATGGAATGCCCATTGAAATGTTTAAGCAAGCTGAAGAAGCATGGGAAGCACTCACTGTCTATGCCGGGAAATCTAGGAGACAGCTCCTTTGCCAACTGACTGGAAGAGATTCATATTTGTGCCCATTCCAAAGAAGGGTGATCCAATAGAATACTCAAACTATAAAATGATATGATTGATATCGCACATATGTAAATTTTTACTTAAGATCATATGACGGCGGTTGCAGCAACACATTGACAGAGAACAGCAAGAAGTTCACGCCAGATTTAGAAGAGGACAAGGAACAAGGGATATCATTGCTGATGTCAGATGGATCTTGGCTAAAAGCAGAGAATACCAGAAATATGTTTACATGAGTTTCATTAACTATGCAAAGACATTCGGTTGTGTGGACTAGACCATAATAAAGTGTGTTTAACTTTGTGAAGAATGGGGACTGGAAACTTGTATGGATCAAGAGACAATTTCAGAACCACAACCAGGTAATATGGAATGGTTTAAAATTGGGAATGTGCATCAGAGATGTATTCTCTCATCATACTTATTGAATTTATATGCTGAGCAAATCATGAGAGAAGCTAGACTATATGAAGAAGAGTGCAGCATCGTGATTGGAGGAAGGCTTATTAATAACCTGTGGTATGCAGATGACACAACCTTGCTTTCTAAAAGTGAGGAGGGATTGAGGCACATGTTGATGAAGACCAAGGATGTCGGCCTTCAGTAAGAATTAAAATTCAATGTAAGGAAGACAAAAATACTCACAACTGGCCAATAGTTAACATAAATGGAGACAAGGTTGAAGCTGTCAAAGATTTGTCCTGCTTGGATCCATAATTAATGCTTATGGAAACAGCAGTCAAGGGATTGAAAGACATATTGCAATAGGTAAATCTGCTACACGAGTCCTTTGTAGAGTATTGAATAGCAAGGTTATTTCTACGAGGACTAAGGTGCACCTGACCCAAGCCATGGTATTCTTATTGCATTATATGCATGTAAAAGTTGGATACTGAATAAAGAAGACCATAGAAAAATGGATGCATTTGATTGTGATGCTGGATAAGAATACTTAAAGTACCATGGACTGCTAAAAGGACAAACTGATCTGTATTAGAAGAAGTAAGGCCAGAGTACTCCTTAGAGACAAGGATGGTAAGACATCATCTTACATACTTTGTACATATTGTCAGGAGAGACCATTTCCTGGGAAAGGGCATCAAGTTTGGTAAAGTGAAGGAGGTTAAGGAAGAGGACGGTCCTCAAGCTCAGGAATAAGAACAATTGTGAAGATGTCGCAAGACAGTGCAATGTTTTGTTCTTCCGTGCATAGGGTTGCTATGGGTCGGAGTCAACTCAATGGCACCTAGCCACATTATTTATTTAATGTTCAACTTTCTCATGCATATAAGGCATGTGAACTTATCATGGCTTGATCAAAGTGAAGTGTCAACTAAGGCCCCATGGAAGAAGGTCACCAGCCTATGTGATCCAAAGATCGTAAACGATATAATCCAAATCTAAAGAAAGGAATGGCATCAGAGATTAAATTATGAATACCTGGTTTCTAGAAGGTTATGAATGACAGTGGAAGGCCAAAATCCATTTGCAGGGTCCACATATGGATTTAGCCTCTGATTCCACGACCGTAGTTAAGGGATGTGAATAGTCCTGTTATCAGGCAGAGAGCCTTTTAAAGGTGATTATGGCAGATGTAGTTAGGTCAAAATGTAATATCTTATCATTTGATTTCCCTTAGGCCCATTTTAAAGCTGTTCCAGTTTTTAAAAAAAAGGAAAGGAAATACACATGGATAAACCCCTGGGGAATACCCTGTTAACATCAACCAAGGATGTGAATAGCATGTTAACATACAGAGGGCATTGGAAAATGGATTGTTGCAGATGCAGTTAGATTAAAATATAGAACACTATCATTTTAACTTCTTTATGATACATTTAAATTTGTTCTAGTTTTTAACATTTTCTGATTTTTTTTAGTGAGGTTTTAATTTGTTTCACTTTGTCATTTTGTTAGTTTTTTGTATTTTAGCTGTTTTTCTGTATATGAAATCCAGGATAGGTATATCTACGGGCAGTAACAGTAACCTTGGAGGTATGGCGGGAGTGGTTGGAAATGGGTTGCTAATACCGATGAGTACAAGAATGAAGAGAATTTTCTAAAACTGATTGTAGTGATAATTGTACAACTCTTTTAAATGTGATCGGACTATTGAATTGTATGATATGTGAATTATATACAAATTAAATTGTTAAGGAAAAAAATACCGGGGCTTGGGTCAGGTGCACCTCAGTCCTCAAAGTAACATCCTTGCTTTTCAATGCCCTAAGAAAGTCTGGTGCAGCAGATTTACTTAATGC